CCTGGGTCCCAGTCCCACTCCTGCCTCCAAGTGCCTATGTGACCCCGGAAAAGTCCCAGTGTCACCTGCACTGGCTCCTCATGGCTGAGTCATGAGAAAGGCCATCAACGTTGGAAAGCACAAGTCAGTGAGCCAAGGTGTGCCCTGACACCAGTGTCTTCCTCACCAGGCCCCACGGCCCTGGGGATATGGCGTTCGAGGTGGATAAGACCAGCACCACGGAGCAGGAGCCGCCAGGGCGCCAAAGGAGAGTCACCCGGTCATCAAGGAGGCAAGGGAAGCAGTTGGGGTGCTACCAGAGAGAAAGAAATGCAAGGGGTCCCTCCTCTACGCTACCCCTCCCTGCGCTTTCTCGGGTCAAACAGGGAGGACAAGTAGAAGAAACAAAAAGGGTGTTTCTTGTGGGACATGCACCACTGCACCACCTTGCCATGGGGTCCTGATTCCACCTTTGCCCCTTAGACCTCCTCCAAAGCTAAGAATGAGGGACAGCTCCCCGGCTCGGTGTCCTCAGCCTTGGAGAAGTGGTCGACTCTGAGCCATAGCTCTTGCAGCCGTAAAATGCAAAAGGCCGCAAAGACCACCCACTAAGAGCAGCCAAGAACCAAACCAAACCTACGGCCATTTTGCTGGTTTTGATTCGTGGAGACCCCGTATACATGGGGAATCTGAGGCTGTACATCTCCGAGGGAGCAGCGAGTCTTATCCTTTGCCCTCCGAGCGGCCGGTCACTTAAAACCACAGTGCCGGTGCCCCTTGCTAACAGGCACAATCAAGTTGTGCTATTAGGTGACAATGCTCACGAAGACCCCAGTAAAGGTTCCAACACGGCACAGGGGGGTGTACCCAACAGTCCTCAGATGCAGATGCACCTTAGCAATTGGGTTAAAGCCCAAGAGAGCATCCCCTGTCGCCATCCCAAGCACAGGCCAGGAGAACCCCAGAAAGGACCCCATCAGCCCTCCATGCCCGCACACTTGGGCTGGCACAGCCGTCGCCCACCCATCCTCTCTTAGCCGCCCTCCCTCCAACCCATGGCAGCCCACCTTGTCAATAAAGGAGGCGAACTTGTTGTTGAGGGTCTTGATCTGCTCCCGCTCCTGGGTGCGCACCCGCTGGATCTCCGGGTCGATCTCCACGTTGAGCGGCGTCAGCAGGCTCTGGTTGACCGTGACCTCCTGGATCCCGCCGGGAGGGCAGGCGGGCCCAAACGACTGCCTGCCAGTCCCCAGGCCCATGTAGGCTCCGCTACTGAGGCCAAAGCCCCCCAGAGCCCGCCCTGGGGAGCCCCCTCCAGCCACACTGATGGAGATGGTTCTGTTATCCCCCAAGTTGTACAGGCTCCGGCTACCGAAGCCCCCCCTGCTGGAGTTGCAGCGGCTCCCCCCACCACTACCACTGCTGCGGGACATGGTGAC